TTTTTTTTTTTTTTTTTTTTTTTTTTTTTTTTTTTTTTTTTTTTTTTTTTTAAATCGTCTCGTTAGGCAGTCCGCTTTGCCCCTCTTTTTTTTTTTTTTTTGTGAAGTAAAACATAATTCACCAGCTTAACTAAATCAGGCGGGGAGGGTGGGTCAGGGGTGGGGTGGGAAGAGGGGGGAACACTGGCTCCAACTGTAACGCCTTACACAGCCGTGCTCTCCGACTGCCTTGCGTGTGCGAGTGTGTGCGCGTGGATACACGTTTTATTTTGTGTGTGCACTCTGCCAGAATTTCATGAAAATATACCTTTTTAAAAAAATCAAAAAAAAAATCAAGGGCTCGATGGCAATTAACAGTTTTAAGAAAACTATGGAAAAAACAATACTTAACATGAAATGTATCGTGATGGTCATATTTTCTTATATTCTGTGAGACTGGGGGGAGGTGTATACTGTACATTGGGAACTGGGGAGGATTTTTTTTTTTTTTTTTTTGTCTTTAAACTATGTTTCCTGGTTGCCATGGAGAATGTTTTCGAAAGAAATTGTGATATTTGATGAGATTCCTTTTTTGTTTTCTTCCCCCAAATGCCTCTGTTTAAAAGGGACGGCCTGCAATGTCCCGGTGCGTTAAACTGACAGAGATGTGACGAGAATGAGACACTGACAGAGAGAGGAGAGGGATCAGGAAGTTGTACAGTGCCAAGTTATGTAAATATACACACTTTACATTGAGGAGTGTCTCCAAAAGCAATATCTTGAAAATGGATTTTGTTTATTATTGTACTGTACAGGACTCAGCCCTAAATGTATTATGATTATTATAATAATAATATTATAATTTCTTCCGTTTGTATGACTATACTGAAGACACTTAAGCTCGGAGGAAAAAGATTTTTGTTTTTGTATTGTTTTTTCTTTTTAATGTCCAAGAAATCTCACCACCAACTGTCCTGACGACATTAAAAAAAGTAAGCTGAAGTTTCGTTGCCTATAAATGAAATTCACCTATGTACTGCATGAGCGAGAAGAATGTCAAACGGACACAGAAGGCATTGGGACATGACAGTGACTTGCCAGCGACCTCTTTGCCGCTGAACATTGTTAATATTACTTTTGAAGGAGAACTGTGCTCCTTGTTTTTTGCTGCAAAGTGTTGAACACTAAAAAAACAAACCAACATAAAAATGTTAAGATATTTTTAAACGGTGACAGAAAGAAAAAGTTTTAAAAAATAAATTAAAAAAAAGCTGTCAGCCCAATATTATGTTATTTTGGGTTTTTTTGCTTTGTTTTTTTCTTTCAAATAGGAAAATGGTTCCGTTTTGTGATAGCAGTCATTGTATGATGCTTGTACTTGTATTTGTGTGTTTTTTGTGCGATTTGTTTAGTTATTTTTAGACAATCACAAAATAAGATGCAAGCATTGTAAATGGCAGACTGGCGGACATTTTGTGATGTGTACAGTTTGTCAAAAAAAAAGAAAAAAAACTTCTTCCACTCGTTTAAAGTTTGTAATTATGATTCTTAAGTCATGAAAAATGCTGTTGGTTTTTACTTTTTGTTTTATATTTGTTTTTGTTTTTGTTTTTTTGTTTTTTTTTTAATAAAAGCACTACATTATTGTGAATATACTTCATGGTGGTCTCCTTTGAAAACCCCTCATATACTTCACAAACACACATATAGATACTATTGTTCAGCCAAAACATTAAATACAAACCCTACCAAAATGGCTTGAATAAAACCAAAAGGCCTAACAAGCTCGAAATTATCCAAAAGTAGCTAAATTAAATACAAAATAGTGAATACGGTGAGGTCAGTGAGGAAAAAAATGTAGATATAATCCTGTAAGGCGCTTGAAAATTTATGGAAATTTAACCAAATATATAGTGCTAGGACATGGTGAAGATTTACCTATATATTTAAGAAAAAGTCTTCCTTGTGGTGGGTTAATATAAGGCTCTCTCAGCACTCCTGATCCACTTTAAAGAGAAAAAATTACAGATGTGAGACAGATTATTTATGTAATTTAAGTATGTTTTCTGGACCTCAAAAACTCACAAACTCATGTATCAAGTACGACAGACTTGTCAAGAAGTAAACGAGTCCTTCTCTCAGCTCTCGCGATAGTACAGTAGTTGACAATAGGCGAGTTAAACAACGTTTTCGTTATCGCTGTTATCGACTTTAGGGCCATACATACTATAATATTTTCACTCAAATATTTATGAATTATACTTTTCCAGTACACTAAGAGCTAAAGGTTGAAGAACCAAGAACTTAAATCTCGCGATACAACTTGAGTATCCATAGAAACGCCCTAACGGTTCACAGCGGCGTTATTAAACTCTGAAACGATATCGTCTTTAACGCTTTTAGCTGTGTGACTGTAATTGTGGTTTCAGGCGCAACCATGTCTAGAAAGAAAGACCCGAAAGATAAAACCAGCGCTGAAGACGAGGCCTGGAAAAGCGTAGGTTAGCCTGTTTTGTTTTGTTTTTATCGAAGAATGGCAGCGCCTTTTTACTTGGACTGCTACTTAACCGTAGCTGTAATTTAATTTTTTTGCCACATTATCTGAAAAAAAATGTTGTTACTTTAAGCATTTGTACAACTTTGAATTTAACTTTTATTTCGAATGTAACGTTATTTGAAAATACCTGTTTTATGTACTCATTCAAATTACGGTTGGGGTCAGAGGTTTGTATATCATGCGCTTGAATCTCATGGCAAGTTAGGGCTTCGAATAATTGTTTATTTGAACTATTATTTTCCAGGGTGGAATGATTGTACAACATACATCTTTAATGACTTTAACAAAACAAGTTGCACAAGATAGAACTTGTTTAGGATTTTCTCTTGTCCACATAGAGTCAAGAATTTACCTACAGGTTCACTAAAATGCACCTCCGCCTAATATGTGGTTAAATGTCTCTTAGCAAGTTTATACTCCAGATACTGTTTTTTAAGCCATCTACAAGCTTCTGGAATAATTCTGGCTGGATATTTAACCACTTTTCTTGGGATATGTGGTACAGTTCATTTAATTTGGTTGATTTACTGCCACAGACCCAGCTTTTAGAGTAGGGGCTTGTTTCTTCGTTGGCATCCTCTCAATGGATTGCAATGTGAAACTGGCTTCCATGTGTACAGTGACACTGGTGTTCCAGCATTTTCCAGTTCACGGCACACTTGAACCTAGGTGGTTTGTGGGTTATTCCTGAACATTCTTGGCAAAGTGGTGACACATCACATTTTTACTTAAATAAAACTGTGTTGGAATCTGCAGCTGTATAGAAATGGCCCCAAGAGATCTTCCCACCTTGTGAAAATCATCAGTTCTCTTTCTTAGATCTTCACTGAGTTCCATAGACCTATTCGCATTGTTCTGAGCATTAGTCAATCTAATGAGTGCTGTCAAACGAGTCCTTTTTATGCTGGCAAAGAGAAACGATCAGTTGTAATTATTCATGATCACTAACGAGAAGTTAATACGCCTTGGTTGTATTCAAATTTAAAAGACATTGTAGACCCTTCAGCACCACTTATGAAAAGATTTAAGGGAGTGTATGTATATATATTTTGACCCTGTGTTGATTAGAGAAAATCCTAAATGAATTCAAACTTGTGGAGCCGGTGCTTGTTTTTGAAAAGCTATTAAAGATGTGTGGTGTACAATGATTTCACCCTGGAAAAAGAAAAGTTCAAAGAAATTATTAAAAGGTCCAAAGTTAACATGACATTCATACCCATGATTAGCGTATGTGAACGTCTGACCAAAACTGTACTTTATATACTACTTTGTCATGTCAGCTTATTTTCATTATGGCAAACCTTTTTTGAAAAAAGCAAATTAGTAAATACAGGATTATTTTTTCCCCTGAAAAATGGAGCACATGATTAAATAAAAGTTCTTAAAATAAATAAAGTAAGACTTCAAGTTATGTGATCTCATTTTAGGTTTATTTTGAAACAGCTGCAGCACATAATCAAAGCAATCATAACAAGTACACAATAACATGTTTGTTCATCATGAGGTTTTAGTAAAATAAGTTTTCCTGTCTGCAGTCTCTCAAGTAGCACTGATTGCAGTATAGCTGTTTGAGGTAATCTAACACCACACATTATATAGAGATATGATTGACAGTGAAAACTTTTCATGCAATCAAAGTGAAAGTTTTTGATGTTTGCTTTGTGAGTTGCTATGTCAAGACTCTAGGCCTTTCTGTTTACAGGACCGACTCCAAATGAAACTCTTCCTGTTCAGACCTTCGGTAAGCGTAAATATGAAGCTCTTCTACTTAGTGTGGTTGTGGTGATAGCTGAGATTTGCACTTATCCCCATTGCCCTACAGATGAATATCAGTGCACAGGAAATGCAGAGACTGACTTCCCTGCGCTGTGTGCTCTACTGAACGTGAAGGATATCCCAGCTGTTATTGCCAAGTTCCCAGCCTCCTCCGCCAGTCAAACTGAAGGTGTCACCAGTAAACAAGAGATGGTTCTGCTTTGAGTAGTATCACACTGACAGAGAAACAGAAAAAAAAACAACAACAAAAAAAAACTGTGATAAGTGTGACATTAGAGCAAGAAGGATCATGGGAATGTGTTCATGTTTTTGAATACTATATGCTTTGATTTGAATGTATTTTCCACACATTACCAACATGTAGCGTTGAGGTGAATTATGGCTAACAGACCTAGCGTAGAAAAATATACTACTGGAGAGGCAGAGACTTAAAGCCCATATTGATGATAAAAATGTGTCAATTAATGGGAATGTATTGGCATCAGTAATCTAAACATTTGGAATGTTTCTGCACAAAATAATAAAACCTCTTGAGACCCAAGATCTTGTTTGGCATGCATGAGATGGAGCAGGTTGAGCAGGACAAAAGGTGCAGGGTCTCAGGAGGTTAAACATTACACATCTACAAACACAAAGAGACATGGAAGTAAGCATGAGCATGACTGCTTCACTGGAATTTGTTGTTACAGAGTCACCAGGTCGTCTGTATTTCTTAGATTTCAGTCACACAGATATTGTAAATTATTTTACCAACCGTTGCAGTATTATTGTGGTCAGCATTATTTTGAATTACTCCTTGATGCTCATTCCTACAGTATAAACAGTAAATATAATTTATATGATCTCAGACTCTCTTACTAATAATAATTTTCCTCCTAAAGATTACCAGTTACAGACGAGTGATGCTTTTTTCTGCTCAAAGCCCTGCCTAACACTGGAGCTGGAGAGTAAAGACAGAGCCAGGAGCATGAAGGTTTCTGGTGAGAGGCAAAGAAGGCGAGGGTTTATAACTGTACTTGGCATTAATTCAACATTTAAAGAATTTGAGTTTCTGAGTCTGTAGTTATCACTGGTTACCTGCAGTCATATCATTCTATGTTGTGTGTAATGTCAGAGTTTGAAAGACATCATTGGATCTTGTTAATTGAGAAGTGAGCTCATATTATTGTTTGAAGCATGTGGTGAGAAAATGACTGGATATGTCATGAATGAACAGGATGGAGGGTGAATGAGCAGATTTTCCGAGTGCTAGAAAAGATGCTCCCCTCCATGAACCAGCTACAGAGCCTTGGGTGAGTAATGAGGTGCTGCAGGGAGGCACACTCCTGTTACAGCGAACGAGGTTACAGCTGTCACTGTTTTGTTCTTGTTTGTTGGTGTAATCTTGTCCACGGTTGTGCAGGTTTTGGCAGGCGGGACTGACAGATCGCATGGTAGTCGCCCTCATGAACACAATACCGCTGTGCTCCAGCCTCAGGTGAGCAGATACCCACTGTCCCCCAAGCATTTTGTACCACATCACAACAGGTCCAAATGTCTTTTGACTTCATGCCAGGAAATTATGTAGAATAGCAGACAAATTTCGCTTTAGCACTGAGAGTTACTGAAACAGCCCCTCTGATTTGTGTTCACTTAGGGTTGTGGCACTGGAAGGCAATGTTCTTCCACAGCAGGGATACCACCTTCTTCTCTCTGAGGACAGCGTGTAAGTAGCGTAACAGTCACACATGTAAACATGTTTGTAGTAGCCATTTGTTAAAAATCAGGTTCATAATCAAAACGCCACTGATGCACCGTGATTCATCCCAAGTTCAGGTCGTGCAGTGCATGGAGAAAATGCAGAAGCGCAAAAGCTACATCTCAACCTCTACAGGCCACAGTTAGCATGTTAAATGTTAACGTTCATGACAGCAACAACATGGCAGCACAGCTTAGGTTTGCAAAGTTATGTCTGAACAAGCCATGAGACTTCTGGAACAAAGTCTTTTGGACAGAACACCAAAGTGTGAAACACAAATGTGACTCCCCTGCTCCCAAGTAAGGGTAGTCTGTCGCAGGGTAACACAGAGAGACAGACAACCATTCACACTGCTAACCTAACCCTGGGACGAAGTTGGAGTACCCAGAGAGAACCTACACATAGGGAGAACATGCAAAATCCACACAGAAAGGCCTGGCCAGATGGTGGATTCTAACCCAGGACTTTCTTGCTATGCAACAATCCTAGCCACATTACCACAGTCCAAACAGATTTATCTATTACAGAGTGGAAAACACTTGTTCGTACAGCACTACTCTCCACAAAAACACACAGCTTAGACTGGTTGGGATGCTCAATACAAAAGTTTTGAGATTGTTTCAAGCTTATAAAGTGGAAATGTTTTGAAACACGGACCCAAAGTATAGAGCTTTGTTTACAATAGTGCAACAGAATAACATTAAGATGTGACAATAGCAAAAGCCGCCAGTAGGTGTCACTGTGGAGATGGGTGTCACATTGTTTTTGACAGTTCTGACAAAAACTGCTTCAAATGTTTCACAAAACCTCGCTTTATCCATCACGAGAATTAGAAATCCCTTTATCAGGTCATAATTTAAAGTCGGTGCTTCTAACCTTCCAATAATTGAAAACACAGAGAGAAAAAAACTGAACAGCAGAGAGGAGAGAAAACAATACAAGTCATATAAAATTATGAGCTGGGTCATATTGACTCCACCTTATATCACTCTCCTCCACAAGAAATGCCTGATTTATATGAGATAAGACATCTGCCACAGTGTTACCAGTCTCCTTCAGATGGTGTACTCAGTGTTGAAATCTTGCAGCAATAAGGAGCTGCATCATTGTTACTGAGCATTTGAGATATAAGCAGGGGATTGTGGTCATTGTGATCATCAGCGGAGGTGGTGCTGGAACCAAAGTACACCTCAGAATGTTGCATACTCAAAAGTAACGCTAAGGTTTCTTTCTCAGTTGTGCTCTAAATCATTTGGGGTTTCTTGAATTTCTTTGAAAAACAGCATACTGGATGATGAACACTTCTGTCAACCTCACTCTAATTTACTGTACCTGCACCATAAGCACTGGTGTCACTCTCTAGTTTAAAGTCATGAACGTAATGCACAGCGGTATCGGCAGAAACCAGGTATGGTGGTGGAGAGGTGATGATTTGGGCTTATTTTGCAGCCACAGGACATGGGCATCTTGCAGTCATTGAGTAGACCATGAAGTCCTCTGTGTACCAAAATATTCTGGAGTTGCCGTTTATGGTGTTTCTATAAGCTAGTGAATTGTGGCGTGTCGTTATTTTTTCACAGAACTGCATAGAGTCCTCATTTTTTCACTGTACCTGACAACAAAGTCCCCCCAAAAAATAAAATAAAGAAAAATCTTTTTAAAGCAATTTTGACAAGTGAGTAAGAAAATAAGCCAAAATAAAGCAAAGTAGCTAACAAAAAACATCTGCAAAAATGAAACTTTCAACATATTATAATTCTTAAACAACAAATTAATAAATAGCGACCGCAATGTTGGAAAACCCTCTTCCTGTATTTACACACCATTCTGCACACAAGAGCAGTTAATGTCATGTGTTTCTTTGATCCAGCCTCACTCACTTGTCTCTGAGAAATAACCGGATAGGAGTTGAAGGCGCTCGCCTGATTGGTTCAGCGCTTTCGACAGCCAGGTCTGCCAACAAAAACCTCCTGTCACTCAACCTGGCGTTCAACCGTATATGTGATGCAGGTGCTGCACTTATCGCTCAGGTATAACCCGGAACTGACGGCATATTCCCTGGTGTATGTCCCCTGTGTGACCGCTGAGCTGATGTCTCTGTCGCCGTCCTGTTTTGCCTCAGGGCCTGCGGCTGAATCGTACTTTGCTCTTTCTCTCGCTGTGCAACAATCAGGTTGGAGATGCAGGAGCTGCTCAGCTGGCTGCGGTATCAATTTACATCACAGAGTTTAACTGACAGATAATGCATTTAAATTAGCAGTTAAAATGTCTTAAATCATATTCATCTTATTGCATTATGTAATGTAATTTAATAAGCCTCCAGTGCTTGCTACTCCCCTTTTCAGGTACTTCGTGAGTTTGCCTTAACTCATGATGAAATAGTGGAGAGGAGGAAGCTGCTTCTGAAAAGAGTGCAAGCTGTAAGAGTGGCAGTGTCATTCACTGAACTGACTTTAATAACTAAGTGCTCTGAATAGCACTGCTTTCACAGCACATGTAGTTAAACCGCTTTCAGGTTTATTTTTGATCTGTTTTTTTCAGGCTTTAGTGAAGGATGAGCCTCTCCAAACATTAGCTGGCAGCACCACCTCACTGGGTGGCAACAAAGGAGAGACCACAGGCACTCCTAAAAAAAAGGTTTCATGTGAAAACTGACTTTTAGCAAATTCTTAAACTAGTGTGTGCTGCAAATCTTGTACTATTGATTCTTATTACAGGAAGCAACCAGAAAAGACGAGAAACCGGACGCCAACAAAGACAACCAAAAGCCAAACAAGAAAAGTAATCGCTCCTGTCGCACCTGAAACACTTGTTCTGTTCTCTGAGAGATGACAGCTGTGTTTATCGTTTATCCCTGACATCTTTTCTAGCCACTGATACAAGAGCGTCTCAGGCTAGAGGTGGAAAGGCAGAGGGCAAAGAGAAGCAACATGCAGAAGAGGTAACGTTTTCTGTTTGCTGAGCATCATGTGGATGCACAACACAGAAAAAAATTTCACTGGTTTCACTTTGTTTTTTTTGGGTTTTTTTCCCCTGCAGGATACATCAAATACTTGCCTGAATAAGGTTTGTTTGATGCAACATTTTGTGAAGCAAAAATATAATTCTCAATGATGGCGCTGATCTGACGGTTCTCCGTGAGCAGGCAGAGTTGGTGGATCCAGCAAATCCCCTGCTGCACCCGTCGGTGGATCCCAGGGACGGACAGGTCTTCATGTCCGGAAACACGACTCTTGTTTCCCTCAACCTGGCAGGTCAGCAGCTGTGGTGCATTTATCTGTGCTTCTCAGGAAAGTCAAAGCACAAAATCAAAGTCAAATTTATTTATATAGCACATTTAAAACCACAACTGTTGACCAAAGTGCTGTACATTTAAAACAATCAAAAGAGATAAAAACAACTACTGTTAGATTTGATGGCAGGACTTGTCTTTGACTTCTTGCAAGTGTGGACATGCATTATCAGGACTGAAATAAAGTCTTTTGGTGTGTGTTTGTGTAGGAAACAGAATCACAGAGAAGTCGCTTCCTCACTTTTTGGCGTCACTTCAAGCGCAGGGCGAGGGTGGAGGTCTGCTGCGTCTCTGTCTGCAGGTACGTAGCACTCACAGGGCACTCAAGTTGACACTGTACGAAATGTATTAGAGCCACATGAAGGTTTAAAAAAGAAGTTTTTTTTTTCTTTTCTTTTGCTTTTTGGAATTTTTGAGACTAAACGTGACATTTTAACATAAAAGTTGAATTTTGCAAATAAATCAGAAGATGACGTTTTTCTTTGTGTTTTGTGAATAAACTTTAAATGTCAGGAATAAAGTTGGCATTTGAAGGTGAATGTCACCTCTGACTCGCTCGCTTCATGCTCAGAATGCCAAAAATAGCACCTCCTCTCTGATCGCCACAAAAAAATTGGACTTATTTTTTGACATTATTACTAAATGTTAAACTAAAAAACAAAGCAAAGCAAAAAGGCTTTCACATTTCAATTTTATTGATATGGCTCCAAGATCCTCCACCTCTGTGTGTGGGCGTCTGTGCACAATTCCCATGAACTGCATTTAGACAAAAAAATGACTTTAAAATCGTTCACAGCCGCTGTCATCACATTATTTATATTATATTATGTTTCAGCATTTATTAAAGTCTGTTTTGCTTTATTGCATCCTAGCTTTTAATTATTTTTTTTATCAACTAATGAAAGACTGTGTCTTTCATTAGTTGTTCCCATTTCATTCCATTTTACCTAAATATAAGTGCTGATTAATGTGAACATAATTTATTTGCTATAATTTCTGATCTCTCTCTCTCTCTCTCTCTCTCTCTCTCTCTCTCTCTCTCTCTCTCTCTCACAGAGAAACATTTTCCCACCAGAAAATGAGCTTTACGTGAAGATAAAGGAAATGATGGCTGCCTCAGATCCAATGAAAAAAAATAACTCTGAAGAGGAGGGACTGGGAGAGTAGAGAGGCTGACAGAATGGGCCTTCACTTTGTCTTATAGCAACACAAATATGTGTATAATTGTATAATAATAATTTCAGCTGTTTAATTATTTGTCAGAATTAATTAAAGAGAATAATATGAGTGAACAGGGCAGCCAATCAGAACTGCGTAGATTAATTGTTTTAGTTAAGTCACCTTACAGTTACCAGCCATCACTCAGGTGACATGCACATTAGGTTTATTGGTGGTTCTAAATTGGTTATGGATAGATGGACATTGGGAAATGCTAGTGTCTTTGAGTAATACAGATGTTCTGCTACAGACTGTTTGTCTCCTGGATTTTGATGTTTTTTTCTCCAGGATCTGAACCATTATGGCTTCAGAATATGGTTAGAGGGATTTATATGATTTGTATCTCCTGGAATCAAACTGTGTAATCCACTATCCTGTAGTGCTGGGCTTTTAATTAATTAATATTCCATTCCGGTCCCATCATCAAACTATTCATTATTTTCCCTAAAAATAAATAAATAAATAAATAAATAAATGTAAAAGTTCCAATTTTGGAGTTACAGCTCTTAATGCTTTTTTGTACTTTACCTTCCACATCTGCTCCAGGTGTTCCTATATTCTTTATTTTCTCCATCATCTTAAATATATAGTCATATTAGTTTGCTTTCATTTTTCTGGTGTCTGCATCCCACAGTTTGACAACCGTTGCCTTGGATGGTTCTTCACATTTATGCCTCTTCTGATGCTGAAGGCAGAGCACATCAGTGGTGTCATTCCCCGAGGTGCCACCAGGGGGCTGTCGAGGAAAATTAAAACATAAACTGACAAAGGTTTAATTATCGTAATTTACACTCAATCAGTCTAATACCTGGAAAAGCTATACTATATTTTATTTGATTTGGGAATATCCATAACAAAATTGTACACTATGTTAAAAGCTAAATATTTTTTTTTACATATGATCAATAGTGTTTATTATTATTATTGCTATTATTATATGTGTTATTACATATTATATGCGTTTGCCTTAAACAGTTAAAGAAAATTTATCTTAAATAAATAAAGGCCTGAAAAGACTAAACAAGGCGGGTTTTCGACCTCTCCAAAATGGCTGCCATATCCTGATAAATTCGTCACGTCCGGCTGTTGCTCAAAGGAGCTACCAATATGAACCTCTTGCTTCCGGTAATGCCTCCTTTTCGGCAGCGGCTACTTCCTCGCCAACATGCCAGTGAGTATAGACAGGCAGTATCGAAATGACATTTTTATAAGTTAACGGGCCTTCAGGGAGTCACCGCACGGCTCAACGTGTACATGAGAGACCGGCGATTCGATCGGTGCCGGTTTGAGACATATAGCCGGGTTTTGGACTGAGTTTGGCGGGACTAAATGTTCCCATTTGGGCGCATTTGCGAGCGCATTGTGATACAAGATGGCTGCGCACACACCGCAAACATGGAGCCAGTTCAACGACCAATGATACAGCCTCGAAAACCCAATATTCAGAGCTATATTTTCGCTTTGCTTGGTGTCTTTTAGAGTGGCCATCGACGTATTTTACCGAGGATGTTTGACTATTTGGGGAACAATTCGTGATCGATGTAAATGCGCACGTTGGGTTACCTAATCCAAGAAATGTAGGCCGATCGTGGAGCCTGAACGTGCACGTAGCACGAGCAAAACATGGCAACTGAAGCGTTTTTAAGCTAACTAATAAAGCTAAATGTCCCTGATAAAGCGCCTTTTCTTTTGAATGTGATAGCTTGATATTATGATTTAATTTTCTCTAATTGCTCTCTGAGTTGAATAACGCTTACCCTCTTTTATGTCCTCATTTTTTTTTTTAAATCTTGTAGCTCGCAAAAGACTTGTTGCACCCGTCCCCTGAGGAGGAGAAGAGGAGGCACAAGAAGAAGCGTCTTGTTCAGAGTCCCAACTCTTACTTCATGGATGTAAAATGTCCAGGTACGCTTTTTGTACACACACAGGTCACCTGGGGTTTGAGTCTTACCTGTGAGCGTTTGCGGGGGTTTGAGTTTTGGATTATCAACCATTGTGATTGTTTTGCAGGATGCTACAAGATCACGACGGTGTTCAGCCATGCTCAGACAGTCGTGCTGTGTGTGGGCTGCTCTACAGTCCTGTGTCAGCCCACCGGAGGCAAAGCACGTCTCACAGAGGGTCAGTATTCATCTACAGCAGGGGTGTCCTCCGATGGCATTCAGTGGCCTGCTGATTTAAACACAGACTGTATCATGCATTTTTTTTAATCTATTTTGGGGGGTTTGTGGTAGATGCAGAAATATCTAGAATGGGGATGATTTTTGCACTTTTAATGGGCATGCCACTAGACGAATTACAGGAAACGTGAGCCTCAGGGTGGGGTGTTCGTCCTGTCACCTATTTTTCCCCTGTGCCAGAACTTTAATACGCTTTTAGTGACTGAGGTTAGTCACACATCCAGACTCTGTTGTACTGGTAATACCAAATTCGTTATCAAACTGATGCTGCTTTGTGTTATTCCAAACTGGAATATAGTTACGACTGGAATAATTTCAGACATTTAAAGCCTGGAATAGCAGATAGGCTACAGAACTATAGATGTCATCAAATAGCATTCAGAAAGTGCAGGACATCAACATCCAGGAGCTGATTTTGCTCTTTATGAAAAATAATGCTGTTGTCTTGTTTCTTACTGACAGAGGTGGGTGTCATTAATCTGGAAATGCCGATACAATTTTGTGTGTTGTTTCTAAATCATTATGACGTTTTGGCCGCACTGCTAAGTGACTGGACTTCCTCTGTTGTGGTCTTGCAGTCTCATTCCGGTGCCAGATCAACCTCAGTTTGCAGAAGGGTTGAGCTAGACTACTGGCTCCCCCCTTTCGAAGGCTGAGAACATTATTTACCGCCCTAAAGCTAGTGAGAGTGCAGATTTCAGGGTGGCTTGTTGAATTAGTGTACAGGGAATGGGGGGAAATTAAAGCTGACCTAATCAGTCACATGACTGAAAGCAATGACTCTTGTATTGGTGCTGTGCAGCACAATGGCAGCATGCTATGCTCTGCATTAATCCTGTAGCCTGACTGTCATTGTCTCCGTTGGCAGGGTGCTCATTCAGGAGGAAGCAGCACTAGCTGTCCTCCCCGGAGAGGAGGGGATGGACCGGTTGATATCAGCGCCTTCGAGACGGCAGCGGCGGCGGACCCTGCGGCCCGATCGAAAACGAGATCTGGAGGCTTAACGGGACAGCAGATGGATTTCCTCTGTTAATGTTGACAGATGGTTTGTTGCTGTAACTCCACCCTCCAACCCTGTCTCTCTAAATAAAATGTTGTTTTGGCTAAAGGAATGGTTTGTGTGTCGTTGTTGTTTTGTTATTTTAAGCTGGAAAATAAAGGTTGTGTTGTCACCTTTATGATAAAGTAGTTCCGGTTATGGTTGGATTTTTATTACAATAGCAAACTGCTGGACTTTATACACATTTTATTACACAATCAGAAAGATGCAGCATTTACAGAATAAAAGCTGGCTTAGTTTATGCATTTAGTGGAGCTAAAAGTATCTCCTGGTTATTTTGATCATGGACAACCTAAGAAGGTGAAATATTTCAGAAGTCCACATCTGATAAGTAAAATCTTCCTGCAATAAATTCAAATTAAGCTTATTGGGCAAAGACGGTTTAATTTTCATTTTTTTTATTGCTGCCACAGTACTAACTTCTACATTTTAAAGTTATTTCTGCTACAGAAAATATATTTTAATACAATTATACATCTCTTTTCCCTTTCTCTTCAAGTCTGTTTAAGCTGCAGTAAAGGCAGATAACTTCTTCTCAAGCGTCCTTAGAAGCCTTCGTCTGCCATCCCTCTACCTGTCTTCTCTGCTCACGCTTGCAATCTCCGTCTTCCCCTCCCTCTCCCTGAGCAGGTGGCGGATGGAGGAATTCTGTGTGGACAGTGTGCTGGAGAGGAGCGGCATCAGGCTCCTGAAGCCCTCCCTCAGCTCCTCCACACTCTTCTCCAGAGTGTGGATGTGTGTGTCCAGATCCCCCCTGCAGCCCTGCACCTCCGACAGCACGTCATACATCAGGTTCTGCATCTTCGTATAAATCGGTGCGCAGTTAGGGGAAAGAAAAGAAAATTGCATCAGCAATTAGATTCTTTTATTTCTTTTTTGGGGTGTTAGCAGGACACATGTGTTGCCTGCACTTCCTCTCATACCTTGTTAAGGTCCACAAGTGTGTTCCCCTGGTCAGCAAGAATTCTCTTCTCCATCTTCACTTGCCGCAGCCTGGAGATAAAATTGCTTGGTTTTATGACATTGCTACTTTTTCATTTTAAGACGAGCAGTAATTTAAAGGGCCAGTCAGACACATGACCGGAGAAACAAGCCATAAACGCGACACGACGTCAACAGATTTTATGAGGACTTTGGTAGAGAGTAGCTCCCATAAAACAATTTAAAGGCATCTCTCTGGATTATGCAACGGCACCAAATGAAAATCTTCCAAATTTAGCAAGGAATGGTTGATATAAAAGTCAGCATAACTTGTGGCTTGAAGGAACAGTTGCAGGCTAAAATGTACTGTAATTGCAGCAGTAGACAAGAGTGATATAGTAGTAATCAAGTGGCTTTTATTTAGAAGAAATATCTTCTTATAAGGTGTGGCGGAAAATCCCCAAGTGACAAAGCTGAACTTTTGCCTTTCAGAGACAATGTATATGGACACAAATGGCACCACTCCTTGGTTTTCACTTCATTTTGGTTGTTTCCATTTTTTACACGGGCTGGGCATCTCATTTAAATGACCTTTCATTGAATTCATACCTTAAATTTGTCATTTGCTTCAGATGACTATGTAGGAGAAGACGTGACTTTAAAGGACTCGATTCAAACTGGGCGATTCATTAGAAATCCTAAATCTGTTTTACAGTTAGGGCCGAGATTTTTTGATAATGACGCAGTTTGTATAGTTTTGCCTCTGTACATCACCACAGTGGATTTAAAACCAAATAAAGTGTGACTGAAGTGCAGATTTTTAGCTTAAAATCAAACTATTTTGTACACAGTCGCCCGTTTTCAGTCCAAGAATTATTGGTCAACTATAAGTTTTAAATAAAAACATTGTTTTTAATACCTTTCATACTTATCAAACATTGTTGATTCTGTTCATCTGGACGTAGCGTTTTCAGTGGGAAAAGCCTTTCGTCACTCATCCAAGTGACTTCTTCAGTCTCATCTTATAAACAGTACATTTGCACAATGATCAAAACCAGCCCACTGAATGAACAATGGGCTGCGAGGCCGGTTCCTTGATCATTAAAATGCAAATTGTCATGACCATTGATCGACGCTACATCCAGATGAACAGAATCAACCTTGTGAGATTTACTTACCTGGATGTTTGAGCATGCATCAAGACATTGTTTTTAATACTTGTGGAAGTCGCTTGTGAGTCTCTCGGCCTTCGATTTTGCGTGCAATAACTGAAAAGCATGCTCTGTTGGGTAGAGATCAGGTGACTGGCTTGGTCATTGAAGAATATCCCATTTCGTTGCTTTGAGAAACTGCAAAATTGCTTTTGGAGCTTCCTCTGGCTCATTATCGATTTGCACTGCAAGGCACTGTCTGATCAGCTTTGCAGCATTTAGCTGAGTCTGAGCAGAGAGTACATCTCTGCACACTTCATCTGTACATTATCAGTGTAACCAGTGACCCGGTTACACTGGCAGCCATACATGCCCATGCTGTAACTCTTCCTCCAGCCTGTCAGACAGATCGCGCTGTATGCTTCGGATTCGTCTTGGCTTCATCTGTCCTAAGAATTGTTTCAGAGCTGTGCAGCTGCTTTTAGATGTTTTCTGAGTCTAATCTGGTTTTCCTGTTAAAAACTGTGGTTAGCGCCTTGTTCTAAACCCTCTGTATTTACATTTGTAAAATAGTCTCTTGATTGTAGACTTTGAGACTGATGCAACTGCCTTCTCCAGAGTGTTCTTAACTCAGTTAGGTGTTGTGTTGGAGTTGTTTTAAACGAAGGAAATTAATTTGTGATCATGCACCCAAGTGCTGTGGTCTGTTAGGCCCTTTGGTGCTGCTGAGCTGACCAGCACTTTCCTCCTTTTTCACAATGCACCACGTTGTTGATTTGGCCACTCCTAAAGTCTTTGCAATCTCTTTGCTTACATTTATTTTTCTTTTGCCTAATAATGACCTCCCTCACTTGCACTGACATCTCTTTGGGCTTCATGTTTAAAATTACAAGTTCAGCACTTTGAATCAACTTCAGATATTATGTTTGCTTTATTTTTCGCTGAATGACGAGGGAACAGGCTTCACCTGGTCACATAGCTTCTTATCAGTCAACTGTCCAGTTACTTTTTGAGCCTCTGAAAATGGTGAACGGTGCATAAAAACAACTGTGATTCCTAAACAGATTTTAATACGTTTGTAAAACCTCTTGTATGAAAGCTTAAAGTCTTCAATCACATCTATGATTTGAAACTGTGTCCAACCATTTATGGAATTATGGACCTAATACTATATTAGAGAGAATGAGGAAGGCTGGAGGAGGAAAGTAGATCTATTCATTTTTTAATGGCACATAATTTAAAATGAATTTAAAATGAGCGGCATTCAATCATTTCAGGCAGTGATTGATAAAGAGGTTATTATTATTATGTGTGGGTTAAGTGCCTTACTGGTGGATGGCCAGGAGCAGCTTCCGCTGGTGCATGCGGACTTTGGTGTGGTCTTTTAACAGCTTAGTGTGCTTGTAGATAAGCCAAGTCTCTCTCAGCACATTCGCTGCAGCAATTTTTATCTGGTGAAAAGAAGAAAAATCACGAGGAGAGTTATTGTATGTTTATGCACAAAATCTTAAGAGTGCTGTTATTTACAGCACATGCTGAAAAACGCTGAAAAACGCTGACAAAAGCTGGAACGAATCCCAGTGCACCATGAGGAAATTTTTTTAAAATCGAAAATGTAGAAAAAATCGAGTGAGCCAATTCCTCCATTTTCCAAAATGCTTTTTGAAAAAAAAACTTTATTCATTTAGTATCCATACAGAACAGGAAAAAAATAATGCCAATCATAGCAAACTGATTTTATTGGAAGATGATGCCACTCGTTTTGAAGATTTTAAGTCAGATTTGTTTTCTGGCATTCAAAAAGTCCTGGATTTTGAGTAAAATAAGTCAATATGTGGTATCTGATATCAAATCCTGCATGGTACGGTGTACAAACAGGAAAGAAGTGAAGCCTTTGAATAATATCTCTTACTTTTGGACATGTTTAATCATCAATAACAATTTTTAAAAAAGGAGATACTAGTATTCACCCTCTTGGAGATGTGTGAGTCCATCATGAAATTGTGAACATGTTTCTCCGCCCTGGTCAGCTCCAGCTTCCTGGCAACCACTGCCACCACCAACACTGTGCAGCCGGCTCCCTGCAGGAGTCACAAACGTTTAAACGTTCAGATTGAGATTTGCATTCAGAGTCAGCGCTCGCTCGTTACAGAGACAACTATCCACCCTCTGCCTCACCATTATCCCTGTGAGAAGGCAAATGCTGCGTCCACAGTAAGTGTGGGGGACCACATCTCCATACCCAATAGACAAGAAGGTGACGGAGACCATCCACAGGGCCTCCATGTAGTTGCTACTCAGGTCCCTGTAGTTGTGGTGTCTGCAGAAATAAAACAATCTACTCACACTGATATCTGTGCACAATCCCCTGTTTTTTATCCTAGATTTACATATAAATATATACTGGTGTATATATATTTTTTGAACCTCTGAATTTATGTTGCATTTTACAAAAAAATACTGCTTTTCATAAGGCTTATGTCTGCGTGGGTTCACAATCCCGCATGTTATGGTACTCTTAAGTGCTTGAAAAGAAGGCAACTGGACTTCTTGGTTCATGAAGACATTTAGACTCTCATGTTGGAGGGTATTTCACCACTAAATAACTGATAGAGAGTCACAGATATTTAAATCCTACTAGGAGGTGTCCTGTTGGTGGTTGTCCTGATGGTGGTTGAGCCAATCATGGGTGTTGTCACATGAGCTAAGGTGTGAAAAAAGGCCAGGGTTAAGGTGTAAAACGTCGCAGTATCAGGTTAGCGGTCACATGTGGGAAGGTGTGAGTAGTGCTTGAACTGCCCAAGAAGGGATGTCAAGACTGTATTTTAGGTGGCTGATACCTGGTGTCAGCCACCACCTTTG